CTCATACACCTTAGAGTTGGTCATAAACTCATACATTGTACCCCCTGGTAGTAAGTCTTACACTCATACACTCTGGTTGTTAGTCCTACACTCATACACTCTGGTAGTTTGTCCTACACTCATACCCCCTGGCTATTAGTCCTACAATCATACACTCTTGGTAGTTATATATTTCCCGTTAGTTCATTGCTTAGATTAACACTTAACAAAATGACGGCCCATTGACTGTGCATGTTTTGTTCTAGTGTTAGATGTTTGATACACATGTACAATTATTAACAGTGATCATAAATAAAGTATGTCAGCTAAGCTTACCTATACTGTTATCAGAATTGTATTTAACGTGCTATATACTGTACACGAACATGATTTACTGACATGTGCAGTTTAAGAGTGTATGGTTAGAGAAAAGATATGTACATGTGACGGTAAACATTGATGTACATTACGTACAAGTGACGGTAAACATTGATGTACGTTACGTACAAGTGACGGTAAACATTGATGTACGTTACGTACAAGTGACGGTAACATTGATGTACGTTACGTTCAAGTGACGGTAAACATTGATGTACGTTACGTACAAGTGACGGTAAACATTGATGTACGTTACGTACAAGTGACGGTAAACATTGATGTACGTTACGTACAAGTGACGGTTAACATTGATGTTCGTTGCGTACAAGTGACGGTAAACATTGATGTACATTACGTACAAGTGACGGTTAACATTGATGTTCGTTACGTACAAGTGACGGTTAACATTGATGTTCGTTACGTACAAGTGACGGTAAACATTAATGCCGAGAGTGGTGTCTACCTTACTGTGATATTAAGAAAATTGGTAGACATTTGATATGTTTTTTGGTGTAACAGCCAAAAGAAAGAAGTCAGCCAAACTATTACTCTGAATTAGACTGGATGCGTTGTATGTTATTAAAATATTGGTTTTCCGGAATAAAAAAAAATATTCCGGAATAAAAAAAATTTCTAAGAAACAAATTAACTTCGGTTTATATCAACCTATATATTGCCTGTTAACATATATAGACATGGTCGGGGCCCAAAAGGCAAATACAATGGTGGTATAACTTTGAAAAGATGTCTTAAACGCGTTTGAAGTGTTCCATCCAACTTATCACGAAACATATCTGGGGCCACGGAACTCAGTATTGTATAAATGGGGGATGTGGATCTTATGGAGGCAGTCATTTATAGGATTACGTTCACCCTCTAGCTTTGGCGGACTGGAAAGCTTAGGGCCGTGGGTTTGATCCCCATGGAAGCTTATATATATTAAGGCAGTGGGTTTGATCCCCGTGGAAGCTGAGGGCCGCGGGTTTGATCCCCGTGGAAGCTTAGGGCCGTGGGTTTGATCCCCATGGAAGCTTACGGCCGTGGGTTTGATCCCCGTGGAAGCCGAGGGCCGCGGGTTTGATCCCCGTGGAAGCTTAGGGCAGTAGGTTTGATCCCCGTGGAAGCTTAGGGCCGCGGGTTTGACCCATTTGGAAGGTGAGGGCCGCGGGTTTGATCCCCGTGGAAGCTTAGGGCCCGAGGCCAAGATAATTTAACGTTAATATAACAAGGGCTTAACGCAATGGTCTTCTTGAAAACAATAGTGATATTTGTTTGATCATAGAAAAACTTTAATTATCCAACAAGACAATTCACAACAAAATTCGTCGAGACACACTTTCCATTCACGTATCACCGAACTTTGAAGTGATTCAACTGTGTTTTTAATTTCCTAAGACAGTTTTGTTTAAAATACCTAGTGCCACGATCCAGTTGGCCTAAATCTTTATAAAATATAAGCAATGAAATAATATAAACATCTATTAAACAAAAATATTCGTACAGTTTAAATCACCAAAATCCGGAAAAAAACGATTCCTTACTTATAATGCTAAGCACGTTTCCCGTCAGGTTGTTTGGGAGTTGCAGAGTGGGTTGGAAACAAACAGCTGTGTGACTTTTGTCTTTAGAGGTTGGTTTTAAAACATTTTATAAAAACATTTTATCAATAATCAACGTGTTAACTGAGGTTCGACTAAATTTATTATCGACGGATACATAAAACGCCGATAGGGCCTGTATCGCTCATCCTTCGTAGATCTAAGCTTATGCGCAAGCCTTCGTGGTTTTGTAACAGGCCTTCATGTAGATCTAGGCTAGTTGCAGTTATAAGTACATAATTGTCATTATTAAAACAGATGTAACAGAGGTCATTATTTTGCCAATGTCTCCGCTAGGAGTCGAACCCGGGACCTCTGGCTTACTAATCTTACGCTCTACCGAATGAGCTAAAGGAAATTATCCATAGCCGAGTGGGTAGGAATTAAGCGGCTAGTATTTCACCAGGGTGACACAAAAATGAAATTTCATTGACATGATCCCTGCAGTTTGCACGACACTCCTATATGATTGTGATAACCACTAAAGTCTATGACAATCCCACCAAATTTTTAAACCACCACTAACCAACCACGTTTTACCCAATGTAAATTTACAATCGTCTCTGTTTTAAAGTTTCTGTGACTTCAAAACAACACGAAGATGACTAGAATAATCCAATATCTATATAGTATTTGCAAAAAAAGGACGAGAGGTTGGTTGGTGTATAGGGTTTAACGCCCCGTCAATAGCGCTCATGACCAGCAATACTGCTTTGACATTACTATGTGGGCCTATAGGCCTAAGGAACAACAGTGGTCCAGTAATCTAAGTGCAATTAGAAATGCATCTAAGAAAAATATGATATAAAAGACCTGGTGTCTATGAGATATATAATGTTTGACCAAGTAGAAAGTCACCGGAAATTTCATATGGTTTACTTCACAATCAGACCTCTATGTCATTGTCTTGAGGTGAATACGATCAGCATGTACCGCAGGTACTAGCCTCGTCTGTCAATACACCCATAATATAAGTATGGGTGTATTGACAGACGAGGATAATACCTGTGCATGTAGAGTATAAGTATGGGTGTATTGACAGACGAGGCTAATACCTGTACATGTAGAGTAGGAGTATGGGTGTATTGACAGACGAGGCTAATACCTGTACCTGTAGAGTATAAGTATGTGTGTATTGACAGACGCGGCTAATACCTGTACATTTAGAGTATAAGTATGTGTGTATTGACAGACAAGGATAATACTTGTACATGTAGAGAATAAGTATGGGGGTATTGACAGACGAGTATAATACCTGTGCATGTTGAGTATAAGTATGGATGTATTGACAGACGAGGGTAATACCTGTACATGTAGCGTAGGAGTATGGGTGTATTGTCAGACGCGGCTAATACCTGTACATGTAGAGTAGGCGTATGGGTGTATTGATAGACGAGGCTAATACTTGTACATGTAGAGTAGGCGTATGGGTGTATTGATAGACGAGGCTAATACTTGTACATGTAGAGTATAAGTATGGGTGTATTGACAGACAAGGATAATACTTGTACATGTAGTGTATAAGTATGGGTGTATTGACAGACGAGGCTAATACCTGTACATGAAGAGTATAAGTATGGGTGTATTGACAGACGAGGCTAATACCTGTACATGTAGAGTATAAGTATGGGTGTATTGACAGACGAGGCTAATACCTGTACATGTAGAGTATAAGTATGG